AAAGAAAGAAAGAAAGAAAGAAAGAAAGAAAGAAAGAAAGAAAGAGGTAGATGGCCTGGCTAATTTGATGAGGGAGGCTGCCTGGGTCATATTCACATGTCAACAATTTTGAAATTCATCAGATGGCGGAGGGACCAAAGGAGAGTGAGAGTGTAGCATTGATTCATGTGCTGATTGTATCTAATTTTTTTTTTGAGGAAGTGCCTTCAAACCAACGTTAACTCTTAACAACTTGCTGGAGAAGTCCTGGCAGATTTCTTGGCCAGATTTTACTTTGCCATTGCAACTGAATTACCATTCCTGCCTATGGCTGAGAGGGTGTGACTGGCCCAAGATTACCCAGCTAGCTTCGTGCCTAGAACTCCCAGCCTCCCAGTTTCTGTCCCGATGCCTTCAATATTTCATCACCAGCCTAAATGGTTAAGGTGCTGGCCTAAAAACCAGGAGTCTGCGAGTTGCCTTAGTCTTGCCTTAGGCATGAAGCCAGCTGGTGACTTTGAATCCATCACTAGGAGATGGTGAGTTCTAGTCCCACCTTAGGCATGAAAGCCAGATGGGTGTGTTTGGCCGAATCCCCAGGAGTCGGTGAGTTCTAGTTCCACCTTAGGCATGAAAGCTGATGGGGTGACTTTGGGCCAATCACCAGGAGATGGGGAGTTCTAGTTCCACCTTCAAAATGTAAGCTGGCTGGGTGACTTTAGGTAAATCACAAGGAGACAGTGAGTTCTAGTCGCTTCTTAACCATGAAAGCTAAGACTTGGGCCCAATCCCTCGCTCTCGGTTGAACCCACCTCACAGGGTTGTTGTGGGTAAAATAGGGAATGGGGATTTTGCAGTGTCCTTCCCTTGCCACACCCACCAAGCCACACCACACCCACCAAGCCACTGCCCACAGAATCGGTGGTAAAAAAAATTGAATCCCACCACTGGTCATAATGTGAGGACTCCCTATGCTTTCCTTCATCTGGGCTTAGTCCTGAGTTGTTGTTTTTTCCCCTTTCCCCCCTTCTTTTATAGGGTGGAAAACGTTCCAGTTTAATTCCACGGAGAAACACATCGCTGTCTACCACGAAGAGGGCTCTTCTTCCGTGTTCGTCGGAGCGGAAAACAAACTTTACTATTACAATTTTGAGGACTCCACCAGCCACGTGGTGAGGAGACTGGGAAAGGGAGGGCGAAGTTGATCTTTGATGTTTTTGTTGTGGTTAGCTGGCAGCAGGTGTGGACAGCTGAGGAGAGCGAGGACTCAGATGAGGGGCCAGGACCATTAGGGAGTGGACAGCTGCCTTCAGAGATTGTGGGGGCTGGCAGCAGTGATGAGGAGGTTCCCGAGGAGCCTGTGCCAAGTGCGCATGCACACAGGGTTGCTCTCAGGACAGAGCCGTTACAGCAGCGTAGGCGACTCGGGAGTAAGGCTGCAAGGTAATGGCCCCTCCCTCAAGAGGATAAAAGCCAGGTTTGAAGAAGCGTTCTTTGCAGAAGGCAAAGACGTTCTGAAACTCAGCCTCATGGACATTATAGTTAGTATTTGAAAACTCTTATAAACTATTTCTTATCTGTGGGTTTTTGGCAGCCTTGACAAACAACTTGGCGAGACTCTTTCTTGTCAGAGAAAATTAGTAGGAAGTAGCCTTTTATCTGTGAAGAAACAGAATTCGTGGGTTAAACCTTAAAAGATGGGGACTGCTACCTTTGTCTTGAGTTTGCTCTCTTGGAACCAGGCTGGGCCAGAACAGTTTTAATTGTAGAGTTGAAGAGTTCTCCGATCTTTTCAAGAGGTGCCGGATTCTGGAAAACACTTCTTATCCCTTGACGATTATGGGTGACTTCCTTATTCCACACACCCCCATCTCTGAATCATCTCTTCTCCTGGGACGGCTTTAGAAACAGGCAACGTGTTGGTAACTAATTGCGCTGCTGCACCGACAGGAGAGGGGTTGTTATGTTTACAACCAGGGTGGAAAGTTTTAGTATCTGCAGAAAGCTGTTGCAGAATGGAGTGCATCCCTTCTGTAGGCCTGCTAGCCAGAACGAGAGCAGAAGAACGAGTTGGAAGGGACCTTGGAGGTCTTCTAGTCCAACTCAAGCTGGAGGCCCTAGACCAGTTCAGACAAGTGGCTGTCCAGTCTCTTCTTAAAAACCTCCAGGGATGGAGCGCCCACAACTTCTGAAGGCAAGTTGTTCCTCTGATTGATTGTCCTCCCTGTCAGGAAGTTTCTCCTTAATCCCACGTTGATGAGTTTCCATCCATGGTTACTTGTCTGGCCTTCTTGGTGCTTTGGAAAATAGGTTGACTCCCTCTTCAGCCACCCTCTCTAGAAGAGGTCTCCTCCTTCAAATGCCTTTCCTACATCTAGGCCATTGGGTAGGCTTGATACCAAGGGTTGCCTCACCTGTTATCTCTTGGAGCTTGCTTGGATAAGTAACTCATCAGTACATTGAAACAAACTTTTGGCTTCTCTCCTTGAGTAATAGCTTCGTTGAGAAATACCAGTGGTCCCTTCTTCTGTGTGCTGGAATGAGTCCACTGAAAAAGCTAAGATCCTTTCTCTCTTGGTTTGGCAGTTTAATGTACAGTAGGTGGCAAAGCACTGCCAAGTCATATATCAGATTTTAAAAAATTGGGATTAAAAAAGCCATGCATGTAATTATTTTTTCCCTGTTCCTCTTTTTGTACAGGAGCGTTTTGATGTAAATGTATCCAGCTCCATGTGTGGACGTTCAGTAAGTTTGATTAATAGTTCCTTCCTTCCTTCCTTCCTTCCTTCCTTCCTTCCTTCCTTCCTTCCTTCCTTCCTTCCTTCCTCCCTTCCTCCCTCCCTCCAGGGGTGGGATTCAATTTTTCTTACTACTGGTTCTGTGGGCGTGGCTTGGTGGGCATGGCAGGGAAAGGACATTTTAAAATCTCCATTCCCTCCCCACTCCCAGGGGAAGGATACTGCAAAATCCCTATCTCTCCCCACCCCACTAACCTGCTTTCCAGCTCCATTCTCCTGTGCAGGGCAACCAAAGAAGACCCAGCCAATCAGCTGGGACTCAGGAGTTGGAGAAGGGATGGGGTTGACGGGGCCAGTCAGAGGTGGGATTGGCCGGTTCTCTGAACCACTCAAAATTTCCTCTACCGGTTCTTTAGAACCGGTCAGAACCGGCTGAATACCACCTCTGCTTTCCTCCCTCTCTCCCTCCCTCTCTCTCTGCCTCCCTCCCTTCCTTCTTCCCTTCCCTCCGTTCCCCCTCCTCCTCTTCTTTCTCCTCCTCCTCCCCCCTTTTCCTCTCCTTCATCTTTTTCCTTATTTCTTTTTTCAGGGAGAAGCTGTCAATTATCTTACGTTCATCGGGAAGTACCAGGGCAAAGTGCTGGTTTGTGGCACCAACGCCTGCAAGCCAACCTGCTGGAACTGGGTAAGGTCCATGGTTGCGTCTTCACCCCTTTTCCTTTTGGGGACATTGGCCAAGCGAGACGTGGGGAATTTCATCTTTGGTCTTGTTTTCCTGTCTTCTACAGGTCGACGGGCAGAAAGAGCCAGGAATCAGTGCCCAGAGCTTAGCACCTTTTGGCCTTGAAAAAAATTCCCTTGTCCTCATCGATGGTAAATGAATTCAGAGCTCATAGTTATGAATCCACCAGGGAACTTCTCCAGATCATTTGTTCCGAAGCTCCCTTTCTTCCAACCTCATGTTGGAAGAATATAAAGCTAGATTTACCTTCTTCATTATGTTATAAAAGATCTTGGGGTGACTTAATTTTTGTAAGTATTTGAATACACAAATATGATGGTGCCTTTCATATTCTTCTTATTTCTGTAAGCCAAGTTTCCCCTTGAAGAGCGTGTCCTTCTGTTTAGAAGGCTGGTTGTAGATATTTCTCGTTGCACAATCCCTGTGATGGAATCCCCAGGGGGAAATGACAGATCTTCTTTATGAGAACTCTTTTTGGAATCGGTTGGGCGAGAAGAGAAGTTTCTGGTTCAATTTCTTCCTCATCGTAGAATATAATAGAATAACAGAGTTGGAAAGGACCTTGGAGGTCTTCTGGTCCAAACCCCCGGCCTAGGCAGGAAAACTTACACCACGTCAGACAAATGGCTGTCCAACATCTTTTTAAAAACTACCTGGAGTAATTCACAACTTCTGGAAGCAAGTGGTTCCACTGTCAGGAAATTTCTCCTGTTCTAAGTTGCTTCTCTCTTTGATGAGTTTCCACCCGTTGCTTCTTATCCTGTTCTCAGGTGCTTTGGAGAATAGCTTGACTCCCTCTTCTTTGGGGCAGCCCCTCAGATATTGGAAGACTGCTATCATGTCTCCCCTGGTCCTTCTCTTCCCTAGACTAGCCAGGCCCAGTTCCTGCAACCGTTCTTCATATGTTTTATCCTCCAGTCCCCTAATCATCTTGGTTGCTCTTCTCTGCCATCTTTCTAGAGTCTCAACCTCTTCTTCCTTGTCTTCTAGGCAATGACATCTATTCGACTGTCCGGAAATACCAATACAATGGACGGATCCCTCGTTTTCGGCGGGTGCATGGAGCCACAGAACTTTACACTAGTGACACAGTCATGAAGAGTAAGTGTTGTTGAGGTTCTGGAAGAGACAATTGAGCGACAATGTTGTGCTTTCCAACCCTTGCAAATACCTGACAAGGTGTCTGGCGATGAGGATTAAGGTGACATATCCAGGCAGTCCTTGCTCTGCCTTCAAGACCTACTGTGAGAACATGACTTGCATTGAGGGTTGGTTGGGTGGCAGGATGGCTAGTCAAATAACCCCAATTGGCCCAGTCAGGAGCTTTTTTTCAGGGAAGTTGAAGGCCACCATTTCAATTTTCCCGTGGTGCCCTATATTGACCGATAATGGGGACATTGTGGGGCCTTCTTAAAATAGTGATTCCTGGCTATCCAAAAGTGGTCCAGAGCAACCATAACTCATTGGAGAGTGGTCTTGCCAAGGATGCGAATCGGGGAGAAATTTCCTGAAAGTGAGAACAATTAACCAGTGGAACAACCTGCCTCCAGAAATTGTGGGCACTCTAACACTGGAGGTTTTTAAGAAGAGTTTGGACAGCCACTTGTCTGAAATTGTATAGGGTCTTCTGCTTGAGCTGGGGGTTGGACTATAAGGCCTCCAATGTCCCTTCCCTTGTGGTCAAGCATGGATGTGTTCTCCAGATCTTCAAGAATGAAGTACAGCTCAGAGGAGACTCTGGTAGCTTTTATGTCGAGGTCTGTAGAGATTCTCAGTCGTCCAGATCATGGTTGTTCCAAAGGTGCTTTTTTCTTTGAACATCCAGTGGTGGGATTCAATTTCTTTTACTATCGGTTCTGTGAGTGTGGCTTGGTGGGCATGGCAGGGGAAGGACACTGTAAAAATCTCCATTACCACCCCACTCCTGGGGGAAGGTTACTCCAAAACCCCCATTCCCTCCTCACCCGCTTTCCAGCTCCGTTCTCCTGGGCAGGGCAACCAAAGAAGACTCAGCCAATCAGCTGGGACTCCATGGGAGGCGGAGAAGAGATGGGGGCGGGGCCAGTCAGAGGCGGTATTGGCCGGTTCTCTGAACTACTCAAAATTTCTGCCACCGATTCTCCAGAACGGGTCAGAACCTGCTGAAATGCCACCTCTGGGTTTATCTTCTCTTCTGTATAAGAAATGGATTCCCCCGTTCACAGATCTTTTTTCTCTCAAGGAAAGGGAGACCAGGCATTCCCCGGCTTCCACCCAGTCGGAGATGAGCTTTGAGGTTAGGGAGGAAGACTCAAAACAAACACAACTCTGGCCCGGAGGAGTTCAACGGAGCAAAAAAAAAAAAACCCCAAACAAATGCCATCCAGGTGTCTCCTATGTAATTAACATCATGGAGGATGAATTCTCCAAGGTTGGAAACTTCTGATGACAAGCCTCAGATAATTCAAGGTTCCTTCCTTAGGTCCCTCTGGGAGGACTTTTCCGTTCCCAGCTCAGGGGCCGTTCCAAACAGAACAAAAGTGACGGACTGGGCTTTCACCCCTGCAGACTTGGCCTTTAAGCTTTGAATGTAACAGGGTCCAAAGGGCCTCTTCCGTGCACAGAAGGGAGGGGCAGTCAAGCTCAGAAAAAGGCCATGGATTTCAGAAGAGCTAACTTGTCTTCGGAGGTGGAAAAACACTTTATCTCCTGCATAAACCTTTAAGGATGGTTGGGCCTTAGGTAATTATTATTACCTTTATTGTCAGAGTACAACATGTGTACAGTGAGATTGGCTGAGCCTCCCTTCGTGCACCTCCCGCCCCCCAACACCACTCACAGCGAAGACAGAAGTCCCTAACTCAGTCCCAATCTTATTACATCAATTGAGATATTCGTGGAGGGCTCAGCAGGTGGTGCAAACCAAGTGTCAACTCATAAAATATTTCTATGGTCTTTTAGAGTTGCCAACAGAAAGGGAGGGGAGAGCAGTGCAGCAGCTCGGAAACCGAAAGCGCATTCCACAAATGTTTTCAAAGATAGTAACTAGGCGACTGAAGTTTCCGCCGTGCAAAATTCTAACTGGAGAGCATGATTGATGACTCTGGGCTATGGACGTGTCCCATTGGAGAATATGAATTATGATACACCCAGAGGGGTTGGGGAAAACCAGGGTCAAGGGTGACGATGAATTATGTGTCTCAGAGTCAGCTACACCCAGGCAGTTCTGGCATGTTTATTCCTAATAAATCTTTAAGTTTTGGAGGTTTGGCTCGAGACTCATGGTTTAAATGGGGTTAAGTGCCGGAATCCCAACACCTAGTTTGTTTGATGTGTTGGTAATGTTGGATCGTGTGATCAACTTAATCCATAATTCTGTGTTTGTACAACTTGGTAAGCCCCAAAGCTTTACCAAGGTTAACTGTAACCTAGCTTGTTGTGTGAAACCAATGCACCTGAGTGGTTTTTCCCATGATTTAGTTAAACATATTGCATGAACATGAAAAGGGTTGACAGTAATCAGGCATGGGTGTTTTGTGTAGGTTCTGAGCTGAAGGATCTGCTCAGGCTTGTTCTGCTTTCTTTTCTAATCTCACCGGCTCCACCTTTTCCCTCCTGGCAGATCCACAATTTGTGAAGATTGCGCCAATCCGACAAGAAGAGGCCTACAATGATAAGATCTACTTCTTCTTCCGAGAGGACAATCCTGACTGGCCAATTAATCCTTTGGCTCCAAGGAAGATCTCCAGGGTGGCTCAAGTGTGCAAGGTCAAGAATGGGCTTTTGAAAAGCTCTTGGGATACTTGGCTATCTTGGTAGCTTAATTTTGGTGGGAACCAAGCCCTCATGACCACCAACAATCCCGCGTGAATGATGACAGGCGCATTGTGATGCAAACAATTTTGGATCCTGTACTTTCATCAGACACCACAATATGTAGAAATCATTCAGTGGTGCATACCACTGCGTCAATGGTGCAATAATGGTATTGCACCCGGCCATTGTGACTTCCTGGTGGCTTGCTATGGGCCCTGCACCAACCAGTGGAGTCGATGGCTTAGAGCCACAGCTAAATTCAGTCATGATGTCTTCTTCAATCAATGAGGTCAAGAGCAAAGAATCAAGACCAGGTTGCAACATAAAAATATTTATTCAAGGTTGTACACAAGGATCTGGTCAGCTAAAGTTAAACCCAAAATTGGCACCAGATGAGTGGAAAAAGAATTCAGGAGGGACTGGACTTGGAGTGCTTGTTGGAACGCAACAATCCTAAGCTGATGACACACTTAACTCCTCCCTCCTAGCTTTGCCTGCTCTTCTCCTACAAATGATTCCTTAGCAGAATGCATGAACCCAGTTTGGGTCTTCTCATCCCCTCTGGAAGATTTCCCCCCCCTGAATTGTAGATTTGTGCAAAAGGAATAGGTGGTGAAATGAGATACCCTCCATCCGTTAGTTTTTACTCTCGAGCCATAAATTGTTTCTGAAAAGATCAAGTTTAATGATCTGTTTTAAGAAAAGATTAGAATGGCCCCCCAGAGCTCAGAAGAGGCGTTTTTCTGTTCTGTTAGTAAACCCCCTTTCCCCCTTCTCTCTGCAGGGTGACAAAGGGGGCAACGGCTCCTTTTCGGCAGCCAAGTGGACGACTCTCTTGAAGCTCATGTTGGTCTGTGTGGACTCAGCCACTAACCGAAACTTTGACTGGCTTCAAGACATCTTTATCGTTGAGTCGGACCAGTGGTTTCAGACAAAGATCTATGGGCTTTTCCTAAATGAATGGTGAGTCTTTGGCTCTTGGACCATCCATCACCACCACCAGAGGACTTCTGGTTGGCTTTGAAGAACCTTCTTCGTCCCTTGCGGGAACTTTCCTTCCTTCTTTCCTGTCTTTATCTATGTAACATGGAATTAGATTATGGCAAGAGCCTCCCTTTTACTGGCCATAATCGAATAGAAAGCCATACAAATAAGAGTTGCCGTTGATGGCAGGCTGATTCCTTGTATCTCGTTTCCACAGGGGTTACTCCGCCGTCTGTGTCTACTCTGTTAGCGACATCAGCCAACGCTTCAGAACGTCTCCCCTGAAAAACTACACTGGGAAACCCCCTGCTGTGAAGCCAGGACAGGTAAACAGCAGTGGTGAATGCTGGGTGGGAAAATCGATCCTTCCAATATGTAGTCAATTTGGAGACTATGGGGATAACTCAGGGTGAGATATAACAGCAATAGCGTCAACTCATAAAATATTTCTATGGTCTTTTAAGAGTTGCCAACAGAAAGGAAGTGGCGGGGGGGGGGAGCAGTGTGGCAGCTTCCATTCCATAAATAGTTTTTCAAAGATAGTAACTAGGTGACTGAAGTTTCTGCCCTGCAAATATCTAATTGGAGAGCATGATTGATGACTCTTGGCTATGGATGTGTCCCATTGGAAAATATGAATTATGATACACCCAGAGGGTGGGGGGAAACCAGGGTCATGAATAACAATGAATGACGTGTCTCAGAGTCAGCTACACCCAGGCAACGCCGGCACGTTAACTCCCAATAAATCCTTTTTAAGTTTTGGAAGTTGGGCTCAAGACTCATGGTTTAAATGGGAGGGTAATTGCCGGAATCCTGACAAATAGCACTTAAGAGTTATATACTGCTTCCCAGTGCTTTCTAGCCCTCTCTAAGCGGTTCACAGAGCCAGCCTATTTTCCCCCAACCATCTGGCTCCTCATTTTACCCACCTCAGAAAGGATGGAACTCAACCTTGAGCCCGGTGTGATTCGATCTGCCAAATTGCAGGCAGCTGGCAGTTAGCAGAAGGAGCCTGCAGTCTGCACTCTAACCCACTGCGCCACCGGGACACGTGGACGTTCTTCTCCATCCGTCTCCTGACTATCATTGTTGTGCCTTTCTTGACAGTGCCTAGAAGAAAAAACTCCACCTGAGACTTTCAAAGTGATCGACAGCTATCCAGAGGTGGCTGACCAAATGAATGGAAAAACCATCTTCTACAGCAAACATCACTACCAGCACCTTGGAGTCCACCAGGTTCGGGCGGCAGATGACAAGAACTACGATGTTCTGTACTTAGCCACAGGTAACCGACAAAGCAATCCGTAACACGCTTGCTAGTTTTAGAAATTGTGTGTGAAAGGTTCGATAGGAAGCCTCCGTGGCTATGGGAGAGATCGTCTCAACTCAATATGAAGGCACTTTGGACATCTTCTCTCGTCTACAAACAACATCAAGCTTTGGGTTAGCCGATCTCCCCACTTGTTTTATAGCAAGACTCTTGAAACCTGCAATCTTGCACTTAGCGAGTGCTGGATCCTACAGCTGTCTCTGAATTAGTTCTCTCTTGCTGTGATCCAGATGAAAGTTGGATTGCAACAGCGGTGAATAGCCAGGAATCGGAGTTGGAGAAATGGGTAGATTTGGCTTCTCATTTGCAGATGTCTCATTCTCCCTTCCATAGCCTTTTCTGGGCTGTGATCTTGGGACCCGGAGAGATCTAACGTTAGGTTGCACAGTTGCACAATTGCCTATCCTCCCAGCTTTCGATGTGATACCCTACACTGTTGAGTGTTGTTGCTTTCTGTATAGCCACCTGTTCTACTCTCATCTTTCCGGCTATTTCTCAAATGAGAACTCTTACAGAGAATTCTCACGACTCAAATATTTGGTTGCTGGGATAAGACCATAACGTGGGAATTAAAGATGGAAGAGCAGGGAAAAAGGTCCATTTTGAAGGGTTTTATGGTCAAGTATTCAAATCCATCCAAGTGGAAAATGTCATTTTGCTTCTGTGGTCCGTTTGAGTTCTTGTCACTTGTTCCACCACTAGAAGTTCTCACCATCCACGTCACTTTCTTCATCTTGCTAATCCTTTCTTTCTTCTCATCCCACATACAGACAAAGGAAGCATCCATAAGGTGGTTGTCTTACCAGACGGAGCCATGAATATCCTGGAAATCCAGCCTTTCCAATCCCAGGCAGCCATTCTCGCTATGATTTTGGACAAAACAAGGGTAAGAAAGACTTCCCATGACTTTATCAGGATACGGGTTCATGCATGATATCAGGCTACGGAGTAACCTGTTCTGACTTAGTATGTGTTGAACCAAGTTTGGTTTCCTTTGTAAACTGGTGTATATAGCTTTTGTTGTAAAAGCAGTCAGCATGGCTTGTTCAGCAAACCACAGTTAAAGCAAATCATGGCTTGTTATTCTCTATGGACAGTGTTTGTCCGAAACAAATAGGAAACATTTTATTGCTGGGGGGAAGATTGTGGGTGGGCTAAAATGTCTTTAGGATATGCAGGGGCTTCCAGATATCCTGGGTGAAACTCTAGTTTAAATTTGGGCATCAACATTCAAAAGTGTTTTGTTTTTTTTAAAACTAGCCATTCCCACATGCTTGGAAGCCTTCTTTCTGTCATTTTTCAAGTCTTTACCCTTTGGGGATCTTTTGTGTATAACCAAGTATACAAGAAGGGATGAGGAGGCTCAGTGGCTAAGATGCTGGGCTTGCCGATCAGAAAGTTTGGCAGTTCGAATCCCTAGCGCCACATAACGGAGTGAGCTCCTGTTCCTTGTCCCAGATTCTGCCAACCTAGCAGTTCAAAAGCACGTAAAAATGCAAGTAGAAAAATAGGAACCCCTTTGGTGGGAAGATAACAGCGTTCCGTGTACCTTCAGCATTTAATCATGCCAGTCACATGACCATGGAGATGTCTTCGGACAATGCTGGCTCTTCGGCTTTGTAACGGAGATGAGCACTGCCCCCTAGAACTGGAAACGACTAGTGTGTATGTGCAAGGTGAACCTTTCCCTTTACCCAAGTATACAGCTACAGTTGGAACAGCTGTATTGAACTAGGAAATGGTTTATATCCAAATAGGCTGATGGACTCATTCTGATGGGTTGCGAGAACCCCACTGAGAATTTATCTAGAGGTCTCTGCATGTGAGACACACGTTACAACTAGGTAGATCTTTGATTGCAGTGGCCATCTTGAATTTTTTGATCATGCAGTGAAGACACTCCTGAATTTATCTAAGAGTGGTCAACATGTGAGTGTCCACCTATTGTTAGATCCTGGTTTCCATCTTCCTTTGTCATTGATCCCTCTGGCCAGGATGTCAAATCTGCGTTTCATGACCTTGAGACAGCTGCTCATTTTCCACATCTGGCTGACTATCTCTTGATGGTCAATAAAGCTCCTTTCAATGGCTCCTTTGTTTTATTTTGCAGAATGAATTAATTGTGGCTTCAGCAAATGAGGTGGTGCAGGTCTCCATGGCCTCTTGTGGGGCATATAAGAACAACTGTGGGAGTTGTGTGCTGTCCAGAGACCCCTACTGTGGATGGGTCAACGAGAAATGCACTTCGATTAATGAGCATGAAAATGGGTAGGTTACATAATTGATACAATTGGTGTGATGGCCACATAGGATGGCTGAGATCACCAGAGCATCTTAAACCAGACAAGCATTTCTAAAACATAAATGTGACGTTGCTTTCTCAACTGGGTGTATTCATCAATTCTGGTCCACCAGGTAAAGATCTTATGAGATATGTTCCCACATGCGAAGCTTGGTTAGCGTTGACCTTGGCTAATGTTTTGGCTTATCTCTTACATGAACCCAAACAGACAGATTATTGCTGAGCTAATATATTATACAAACCAAGAAAAGTGGTTTTACTGGGTAGCAACCCAGTAAAAATGTGTGAGAACATGACCTTCTAATAAGACAATGAAATGTTTTCATTGTGATTCTTCAGCTATTTTTTGACCAGCTAAACAAATGTAAATAATAATGTGATTACCATGTATCTTTTATGGAGATGCCACAGGCTGACCCTTTGATGGCTTAGATTATTGAAGAAATATGATATTTAACTTAATTTTCCATTTTTTTTAGAACCTTATTGCAGTTTCTAGAACATGATGTTCCTCAAAACATTTGTCAAAGCTACTTGGCCTCTGAAGGTAATATTCATAAACAAACTTGAGCACACTTAAGAAGTACTCTTAAGAAGGTGTTTCCTGCAAAATCTGTGAAAAGATGTTTTTAAAAGCCCACAAGGAATTAGGAGAAGGAAAAAGATGTGAGGGGTGTGGGAATGACGTTTTGTTAGGAAAAAGAACGGCCACCGGACAAAGTGTTGAAAGTAGCAGTGGATTTCAGGGGGGAAAAAAAGTTTTGTGATTTTAGAATGAAGAAAAAAATAATAAACGGAGTTGATGGAAGGTTATAAAAATCATCATATTAGAATTCAGTTTTATTTGTTATATTTGGCAACTGCCCCAAACTTTGGGCAGTGGATAGTAAAGTGAAACAAATTACGAATCATGCAAAACTGAAATAATCAGTTAAAAAGATACAGAAATGTGAATGTGGGGCAGACCACCCATATGCCAACCAGGTGAAAACTTGTCAGAAAAGGAAAATTTTCAGGCTATTCCTGAAAACAGGATACCATCTGAACCTCCAGAAGTAGCATTTTCTATAATATGGAGGAAACCACAGGGAAAGCCAACCATGAACCTTGCACAGGGAAGGGATTCGTACCCAGTTTTCCCAAGAAGACCAGACCAGACCAATAAACAATTTTAATTTGTTGGGTTTGGCCACAAATATGAAAAGAGGTCATCTAATGACACTGGTTTGGCAGTAGACACGGAGTAGATAATCTCTCCGCAACCTGAAAAAAAAAAAAAAACTTCATGAGGACTACCAGTTTGAGGGCCTCAAAAATGTGGAGACTCTAGAAAGAGTGCAGAGAAAAGCGACAAAGATGATAGCGGTCTTCCAATATTTGAGGGGCTGGTCAACCCCAAAGCACCTAGAGGCAGGACGAGAAGCGATGGATGGAAACTAATCAAGGAGAGAAGCAACCCAGAACTAGGGAGAAATTTCCTGACAGGGAGGACAATTAAACTAGTGGAACAGCTTGCTACCAGAAATATTGGGCTCTCCATCACTGCAGGCTTTTAAGAAGAAACGGAACAGCCACTTGTCTGAAATGGTTCCGGTTCTCCTGCTTGAGCAGAGGGCTGGACTAGAAGACCTCCAAGGTCCCTTCCAGATATTCTGCGTGAAACTCTAGTTTTAATTAAACCTTAGTTGTTGTTTTTTAATTAGCCATTCCCACCTGCTTGGAAGCCTTCTTCCTCTGTTTTTCAAATCTGTTTCCTCTCTCTCTCTCTCTCTCTCTCTCTCTCTGTGTGTGTGTGTGTCTGTGTGTGTGTCTGTGTGTGTGTGTGTAAAACCAAGTATACATATACACTTGGAACAGTTACCTTGAACTAGGAAATGGTTTATTTCCAAATAGCCTGATGGACTGATTCTGGTCCCTTTTGAGAATTTATCTAGAGGTCTCTGCATCTCTGTTCCTTCCAACTCTGTAATTCTGTTATTTAAAAGGAGATGAGAAATATTCAGAAAGGGAGACAGAGAGGCCCAATCTGTCCCACCACTGACCCTTTCCTTCCTTCTTTCCTCCCTTCTTCTCCTCAGGAGACGGCAGCAGTTCCACCTCAAAGAATGTGACCTTACACTCCCGCTATTTCCTGAACTGTTTTCAAGAATCTCATTATGCTAATTACACTTGGCTTCATAATGACCAGCCAGTTGCCCATTGCAGCTCTGGGCACCGTCACTGCCTTCATTTCATTGACAATATGACCGCTGAGCTCTATGGCAAGTATTCCTGCGTATCGAAAGAAGATTGGTTCCATCAGACAGTCATAACTGAATACCTGGAGAATCCCTCTCAGGACAGCGGGTACAAGTATGCAAAATCAGTGGGACTTGGCTCCGTGCCGTCTTTATCATTCTGGCTGGGGTTACTGCACATAATAGCTATAGTCTTCATCGTCCAGTAAAGCCCGATCTTCTGTGGACTTTCACAACATTCCTCTCCTAGGCCGGATGTTCAGGAGCGTCTCTGCTGAAGACATCTGACAGTTCAGATGGTTGTAGAGATGAAACCTCTTCTTGATCTTTTTGACATCTGGATGGAAGCAAACGAAGAAGAAGAAGACGATGAAGAAGAAGACAAAGGGACTCGGGAGAAGGAAAAATGACTGATCTGATACCCTCAGTTTCACCTGTTGAGATTGGGTGGTTCTACAAATCGGACAAATAACATCATAAATCAATATTTCGGGAAGGACGTGGAATGTCTTAATGGGAAAACCTTGTGTGGTGGCCTTGAGACCTGACTAATCCAACCTCGAAAAAGAAAGATGAGTTTTGCCTAGAAGCAGATTAGCACTTACAAGGTCTATTTTTTTACAAGATCTCTGCCAGTGGCTTTTCAAGTTAACTCCTTCCCGTCTTTGTAGAAAGGGCTTGGCTCCATATTTGTTCAGGAGTCCAGCTTGAGACAATGGCATTTCCAATTCTCTACCAACCCCACTGGTGTTACTACTGCTTATTGAAGAATAGCGAGTGCCGGTGTCTAGATCTATCGGTCGTAAACTTTCAAACAAAAGCCCTTATTATATTTCAGAATAGTTGCAGTATATTTATTTATTATATTTTCTCTTTGTAAAAGAGAAAGCTCCCAACTCTTTCTATGTAAATATTTGTTCTACATTGTTTGCTTCCTGGTTTTTTTTTTAAACAATTGGGGTCTGTTAGTTTTTTTATTTAAAAAAACCCCACCCAATTGTTTTATTTGGAAGGCGTTTAATGTTCCTTGGTCAGTGAAGGTTCTCACTCACCTACAGATAGACTAGGGGGGCTAATAGGCCTGCAAACGCCCCATTTCAGGATGGTGGGTTAGAAAGCAATGGTTGAACACCTGAGGTTTGGGAGCTCTGGTTCCTGGAAGAAAAGATCTTAAAGAGGAGTAGAGATTTTTTTTTCTGTGTAAACCTTTACAATGAAGTCCTCCAATCTGGTGCAAAATTGCTCGCCTTAATGTTGGACCAAGATTGATCCTTAAGCCACTTCCCAAGGCTCACTTGCAATCCAGTCCTTGTTATGGGGCCATCGCTTGGAGAATCAACTGTGAAATGTGTCGTATTTTGTAATAATACTCCTAACACGTGAGTTCTCTGCACATAAACGGCTTTATTTTTCTTAACTCATCCCTTCCGGTTCCTTCATACCGTTATCACCTCAAAATATGTCCCTCACTACTCTCTGTCTACCACTGGTTCCTCTTCACAGTTAAACATCAACAGGTTCCGTTTACCCTACACCACAAAATGGACCTGTCCTTCCTCCCTTGAGTACCTCTTAATCTTTCGAGCCCCAAAGGCAATTCTGTGCTACACTACATTGTTGTTGTTGTTGTTGTTGTTTTTTAAAAAAGAGCCATTCCTTATTTTGCTTTTGTACATTTCTTTGTCATTGATAGTGTTGTTTTATGATGCACTCTGGACTGCTGCAGCAGTAGATTATGAATACAAGGAATTCAAAACAGGGGTGTTTTATGGGGAGGGGCTATTAAAAAAAAAGTCAAGATGGCGGCTGTGCCATTGAAGGGGGCGAAGCTTTAATCACATGGCTGCGGACGCCATTTTGAGGGGGAGGGGTTTTGACGCACATTTCTCCTAGATATCTCTAAACAAAAAACTTATTCCTTTTTTTATATTTTTGCTTCCAGTTTCTTTGTACCTGAATGTATTTTTTAAATAGAGCACTTTAAAATAAAAACAAGCAAACAAGTAACTGTGGTCAGAATTCACTGGAGTAAAGTCTATGTGTCTTAACGCTTTGGGATTTATCAATCGGTGACTTCCCACTATGGGTCCTTCAATCTATCCAAATCATAGCTGCATCTAGATTCCTCAAAGGTCTACATCAGAGGTCTTCAAACTTGGCAACTTTCAGACTTGTGGACTTCAACTCCCAGAATTCTCCAGTCAGCTGGCTGAGGAATTCTGGGAGTTGAAGTCCACAAGTCTTAAAGTTGCCAAGTTTGGGGACCCCTGGTCTACATGTTCTTTTATTTGGATAATACAGATGTTAAAAAAAATGCAGGTAGTCCTTGACACCATTCAAGGTTATGTCAGATCTCCTCAGGGTTATTTGTGACTTGGATTTGAACTTCTGACAGCTGCTTCCCCCGCCCCCAGATCATGTGACTGCTTTGGGGGCAATTGGCAACTGATCCACATTCGCGGCCATGTCCTATAGTCATATAACTGATTTGGCATAGTTTGGGGGGATTTTTTTTTGCCCCAAACCAGATTTTACTTCCAATTTCTGGTAACAAATAGCCTGTCAGGGTTCCAAGTAATACACCCCATAGCCGTGGCGGGATTCTTTTTTTTTTTACTAGTGGATCTGTGGGCATGGCTTGGTGGCCGTGGCAGGGGAAGGTTACTGCAAAACCCCCATTCCCTCCCCAGCCCACTAATCTGCTTTCCAGCTCCATTCTCCTATGCAGGGCAACCAAAGAAGACCCAGCCAATCAGCTGGGACTCAATGGAAGGCAGAGAATAGATGGGGGCGGGGCCAGTCATGGGTAGGATTGGCCAGTTTTCCAAACTACTCAAAATTTCCACTACCGGTTCTCCAGAACTGGTCAGAACCTGCTGAATACCACTTCTGACCCAGAGCAGACATAACTCTGAAGCAGGTAGATTTCTCAAAGAAAAGGTTTATTTGGATATATATCATATTGGGACAGTTCTGGGGAAAACCTACGCTGAAGTTTCCCATGAGTTTCACCTAATTAAAAGTAAAAGTTTTCCACCTTCCCCAAACAATCAGTCCCATGGTCCAATCAAGGTGTCGTCTGGTTGCCTGGTAACTTCACTCCTCCTCTCTCTACCACCTATGGGAATGTCCTTGGGTCCCAGGAGAAGGTATTCCCCCAGCTACCTCTCCCCCCCCCCGCTATCCCCCAGTTCTGGTGTGGCAACACTGAGGCCTCAAAATGCCCTCGGACAGGTCAGCTTCAGGGTTGACAAACCATTGGCTAAAATGGATTCATTTAATGACCACAGCGTTTGTTTAAAAGCTGTGCTGTTAGTTCACAGCTGCCACAAGAAAGGATGTAAATTCGGTTGCAGTAAGCTGCTGAATCACCACAATGATTTATGTCCTAATTCTGGGCTCAACTACCCTGTTTCCCTGAAAATATGACCTACCCTGAAAGTAAGTCCTAGCTTGATTTTTTACAGGTGTGCCCAATATAAGCCCTACCCCCCAAAATAAACCCTAATTAAGATCCTGCCTACTCCAGAGTGGGCGGGTAAAAGTTAAGCTAGGGTGAGGTTGGGGGAGGTGGAGCTGCCCTAATACTTACCTTTGGACAGTTGTAGCCAGGCCTCACACACCTGCCTTGCCGGCCCATTTCTTCTGCAGCCAGAAAGGCTAGCAAGGCTTTCCTGAACACCTCTGTAGCTAATAACAAAGCTCTGGATCGACTGCAGAGACTTTCAGGAAAGCCGGCCACAGAAGAAGTTCCTGAAGGCCTCTGACAGCAAAAAGGAGGCCCCAGGGTGATGCATGCAAGCGAGGTTAGTTAGTGGATGGCATCCCCTGAAAATAAGACCTGGTGCTTTTTTTTTGATAGCAAATATATATATATATATAAGACAGGGTCTTATTTTTGGAGAAACACGGTACATCAATTGTAATCCAGGACAACCTCAACAAACATCTGCTATCACCCATCACCCAACTGACCTTAGGTGAGTGATGCAGTTAGCCTGAACTAAAGACCTCTGCTTTTTTCTTTTTCTTTGCAACTTTAGCTAAGCCGCTTTTTTTCTCCTGTATCTTACAAATTCCTTGTAAAAGAATTTGACATTTGACAAGAGTTCAGGCAAAAGACTTACAGAGGTTCGGCCTTGACCTAAGCTGGTACCCAAATTATGGGTTATTTTTGATTGCAGCCTTGTTCATGTTTCTTTAGAAGTCTGGCCACAGGTCCCTTTGGGGAGAATCTCTATAGAACAGTTCCTTCTCCTTTTCCTGTTCTATTGTGATGTTATTTTGGACAGCAGACCAGCCCTATATAGAGAACTACACATTTTGTCTTTTTTAAAATTCTGCTTCCTCCTTTTTGTGTCTTAGTTCCGCTCCTAATATAATACACACACAGCTCTATTATACTGATGGCTTCAGAGCCTTTTATAAGCCTTCTATTTTTCAGTTCCTCAAAAAGATAAATAAATAAAAAGAACTAAAAATAAAAGCATCAACAACAAATATTGGAGATGACTCAGAACGTCTAGGAGTTTTCTCTAGCATCCTGATCTTAATGGAAATACCTCCCTTGCTGAATCTTCTAAAAGAGCCACAGAATTATAGAATAAAGGGATTGCAAAACATCTTAGCAATCATCTAGTTCGGTGTTGCTCAACTTGGATAGCTTCAAGACTTGTAGACGTCAATTCCCAGAATTCCCCAAGCAACCAGCGTGGGAAGTTCAAGCCCGCGCATCTTGAAGTTGTCCAGGTTAAGGAACACTGAGCTAAGCTACAACTTGCCCAGTGCGGGAGTAAAGACTGATAACAAAAAAGAAGGATGTCAATTTTATCTTTCCAGGTTGGACAACCTGATCCTTAAGTTCAGATGTAACTTCAAACGTTCACTAAATGAATGATTGTAAGCGGAGAACTACCAGCAAAGCCTATAAACAAGAATCTAGTAAAGTAAGAGTCAGCACTAAATTGGCATTAGATGAAGGTCAACAGAATTCAAGAGGGGCTGGATTTGGGCCTCTTGTGGCAACGCACAGATTCCAAACTGATGGTGTGTTTAATCCCGCCCTCCAGCTCTGCCTCTTCTTTTCCCTACGAAGAAACTGATTATCGATTGAACTCCTATTTCAATTTCTCTTGGGATCTGTTTGGATATACAGGTAATTCTCAAATTCCCACAGTTCATTTAGTGACCATTCAATTGGGAGTGGTTCAGTGGCCTAGAGGTGCTGTTTTCACTTGACAACCAGGAGGTTGTGAGTTCGATCCTAGGTAGAGGCAGATATTTCTCCCTCTGGGCACACTGAGAATATTATC